TTTATTGACTTCGGCGGTTCCATCTCGGCAATTGCTCTGATCTTCTCTGGGTTGACCTCAATCCCTCTCCAGGAAACGATAAAACCCAAGAATTTTTCAGATTCCACACCAAAGATGCATTTGGCTGGGTTTAACCTCATTCTATTCTGTCTGAGATTGTTGAATGTCTCCTCAAGATCAGTTAAGTGATCGTCAGCTTTCAAACTCTTCACCACTATATTGTCAACATAAACTTCCAGATTCTGTCCTATTTGAGCTCGGAACACGATGGTAACCATCTTCTGGTAAGTGGCGCCTGCATTCTTCAAGCCGAAGGGCATCATTACATAGCAATAGATCTCGTCACCAGCATAGAATGAGGTTTTTTCTTCATCCTCAGGAGCCATTGAGACCTGGTGGTAGCCTGAGTATGCATCCAAGAGACTTAATCTCTCATTCCCCGAAGCTGCCCCAACCAGCTTATCAATGTTTGGCATTGGATAACAGTCTTTTGGACATGCATCGTTGAGGTTAGTGTAATCAATGCACATTCGCCATTTACCGTTTGCTTTTTTCACCAGCACCGGATTGGCGACCCACTCGCAGTAATCGACCCTTCTGACAAAACCAGCTTATAGGAGTTTCTCAACTTCTTCTTTAATGACCTGTAACCTCTCCCCCCCAAAGAGGCGTCGTTTCTTGGCTACTGGTTTCTTGAGGGGATTGGTGCTGAGTTTATGTTGAAAAACTGAAGTGGGAATTCCCGGCATGTCTGCTGAAGTCCATGTAAAAACATCTTTATTGGCCCGAAGAAAAGCTATGAGCTCTGCTCTTTCCTCCGGGTTCAATTTAGTCCCAATTTGCGTTTTCCGGTTCGGATCTTTGTCATCAATCTGTACCTCTTCCACATCTTCGACTGGAGCAGCTCTGGTTTCATCTTCTGGTTGGTTATCTACTATCTCAACACCCATAACTTGCCGATCATCAGGGATCCGTTTGGGATCAACCTCGGGTATCTGAGTCTTGCCCTTTTGAGGTTGTGTTAGTGAGGTGATATAGTAATGCCGGGCCACCTCCTGGTTGCCTCGCAGTGTAGCTATTCCCGTAGGAGTTGGGAATTTCATGCATATATGAGATTGGGAAACCACAGCTCAGATTTCAGTCAGTGTGGGTTGACCAATGACGACATTGAATGAGGACGCCATCTTGATTACCAGAAACATGACTGAAGGGGTCACATAACTTCGGCCACTGCCAAATGCAACATTCATAGTGAGGACTCCTTCAACTGGAACTGGTTGGTTGTTAAACCCGTAAATGGGGCCATCATACTGCTGTAATAGAGCGGGATCTAACCCAAGACTCTCAAAACAATGGAAGTACATGATGTCTGGTGCACTTCCTGTGTCAACAAGGACACGCTGCACTTCACAATTGTTGATCGTGATAGAAGTGACTAGAGGATCATTGTGAGGTGTGACAATTGTTTCGAGATCAGCAGATGTGAAAGTGATGGGTTGATTCTTCCACTCAGCATCGTCAAATTTTCGCTTCTGAGTTCGGTTCTGATGCTTAACCTCTCTGACATATAGCTTTCGCTGCTTAGAGCTCAGTTCGCCAGCTTCCAAACCTCCCGTAATCATGTGTATGACTCTAGCTGGTGGTGGTAGTGGGGGTGGGGTTTGCTGATATCCCACACCTTGTCTGTTTGGGGGGTTGCGGATTGCTTGATGCTGTGGCCCTTGTTCTCTGACAAACCTTGGCTGTTCCGCTCTCTGGATGTACTCATTCAACATTCCTTTCTGTGCCAGACTTTCCAATTCGGACCTCAGGCTATTACATTGCTCTGTTGTATGACCGTGATCCTGATGAAAATCACAGTACCTAGTATGGTCTCTGGTAGTAGCAGCAGTTCTCATTGGATCCGGACGTCTTAAGTCCATCTTATTCTTAATCTGCATAAAGATTTGTGACCTCGGTAAATTAAAAGGAGTCCAATTAACTGGAGGTTTACCTGCAGGTTGTTGCGGAGGTGCGAAGTTCGGCCTTCGGAGTCTCAAGGTGGAAGTCGACATCGGGCCTCAGTTCTGTGGTGTCTTCATCCGTTTCCTGTTCGGATTCTCATCTCTCCAGTCCGGGTGTTGATTCTTAACAGGGGTGATGCTTTGTGACAGGGCATATTCCTCAATAGTTATGAATTTCAATGATCTATCATTTACCTCACTGAAGGTGGTGGCAGGATGTTTAAGCAGACTATCTCTGAATCTTTCATGGCCGAGACTTGAGATCACAGCTGTAATGCCCACTGCTTGGTCGAAAGAGTTAACCTCTAGCACTGCATCATTGAATCTGCTCATAAAATTCTTCAAAGACTCTCCGTCCCTCTGCTTGACTCGCATCAGCTCGGAAATGGTTTTCATGATCAACCTTCTACTGGAAAACTTTGTGGCAAAAGCAGATGTCAGTTCCGTGTACGAGTTGATTGACCTTGGAGGCAGACTGTAGTACCAGGTTCGAGCATTACCTCGGAGAGTAGAGGGAAAGATTTTGCACATCAACGCATCAGAGGCGTTCTGGGCTTGAATGCAAGAGTAAAAAGCATGTAGATGATCATCGGGGTCCTTCGTTCCGTCATAAGTTTCAAGCTGTGGTATTCGGAAGCCAGCGGGATAGGGTTCCAGTATAATATTGGTGTTGAGAGGGTGAGGTACAGAGTCAGCAGCAGGGTGTGGAGGTGGGACACCTCGCTGTTCGACCACTAGCTTTTCTAAGCTATCTAAACGTCGAGTGACATCATCATGAAGGGGTTGCTGGGCTGGGGCGATGTGAGATTGGCCCTGAGATTCACTAACAGCGGGAGCATGTTGAACTGGGTCAGGATTTTGTGGTGGGGCTGGAGGCTGTGGAGCAGGATTGAGTAGGTGGATGAGTGGATCACCAGGATTGTTCCGGGCTAATAACTGAGCCAGCACTAGCTGAAAAACACCAAATTGCTGCTGCATGGCAGCGAGCTGAGTTGCAACTACGTCTTGGTTAGCCGTAGAGGCTGAGTTGCTAGTCGAATTGTGTGACTGATTTTCATCCCCTCCTTCGGTATGGTGAACATGAAGGGATGTATTCGGGATTGGGGGTGGGGGATGAGGTGGAAGGTTGCTGGGGGCCTGACCTCGTCCAAGAGGCTGAGAGGAGTTTCCACCTCGGGCTGACCTAGTTTTAACCATGATGAGAGCAACAAGGGATCCTTTAGTTCAGGTTCCCACAGACGGCGCCAAAATGTAACTGCACCAAACCAGAAGTCCTTCTTCAGTCCGTATCTGCACTCTGAATTGACCTGCAAAGCCCCGAGGTGGATCCTCGGGGTAGACACTCTGATGCTTAAATCAGCAATAATCGGGGCTACCTTTAGAGCGGAGAAACAAGGAGCTTAGGGTTGGTTCCAAAATTACCTTTTGGCGTGGCCCTTAAGGGGTATTTATATGTTCCGATGAAGAATCCACG